AAAAAAAAAAAACGAGTCCACTGAGGTAAGTTTTAAAAAAATGGGGCATAGGGAAAAGCTACTATATACATACAACCCTGAAGTGAGGTCCAGCTACTAGGGCAGGGGCCAAACCCAATCCAGGGATACATAAAGCAGCCAACTAAATAGGAGAGGGAAAGAAAGAGAAAAAAAGAGAAATGGGTAGGGGGGGAGCAGGGCACTAACCTACCCAAGGAGAGGGAGAGAGAGACCAGGCGCCAAGACGTGAATACAACATACCGGCATGTACCAGGAAACCAATAGCGAGGTCTGCAGGGCTGGCCCCAATCCCAACTATGTGGACACCTCACCCCTCAAAAGAATGCACTTCAGAGGACAGCACTGGGGCTACAGCTTGGGGAGAGGGGCGTGACTGATTAGAACACATGGGAGAAACGAAAAGGGATAGAGAGGGAGGGGAGGACATCCTGGCCCGCCAAGTCCCATGGACATTCGTGCTCGGAGCAGACAACACAGAGAGAGGACCATAGGGCCAGTCCCATCACAAGACATGACATCCCTCATTAAACCAAAGCGCTGAGGAGAACAATACTGGAGACACAGTGCGGGAATTGTGCACAATCTGACCCTTCACACTGGGGCGAAACACTAAGAGCATGCAACAGAGCAACAAGGGGGGAGCAAAGTGATGAAATCCCTGGGGAATACCAAAAATAGACTTTGGAGACAGAGTGTGGCACCCCATCAGAGTAAAAACCAACAAACAGACCTTGAACTATTTATAGGCATTTCCATTTTTGTCAGTGACTTTTTATTTGTTGTTTTGTTGTTATTGTTTTGTTGGTGTTGACTTCCTTTGTTGTTTTGTTTGGCTTTGCCTGGCTTTTGCGCTTATTAATGTATCTGCATGTCGATCTAGATAAGATGGGTGGGACAAATAATTCGGAGGTGAAAAGAACCAAAGGTTGGGGGGGCGCAGAAAGGAGAAGGGGAGGTGGGAGAAAGGAAGGGGGAGGGGGAAACCAACCCAGGGACAAGGGAAAAGCAACTGAACTAAAATCAATGGAGAAATGGTGTAGGAAGCCTAGTGGAGCTTAATCACAGGCAATGTAGCAGTGAGGAATTACTAAACATGAATGAAGACCGAACATGATGGTGGGATAAGAGGAAAGTAAAGAAAGTAAAGAACCAGGAGGCAAAGGATATTTATAGAGGTCTAAATAAAGGCATGCACATATATAAATATATATATCTATATATATTTATATTTATATAATGATAATGGAATAGAACTATGTACTAGTATCTATATGTTAAGAATTAAGGTAGCAGATGGACATTGGGTCTCTACTCAAGCACTCCCTCAACACAAGAACACTTTGTTCTAATAACCTGACATTCTGTGATGCTCACTGCCAAACACAATTGCTGACAACAAAATGGGTACATAAGCAAATGTGGTGAAGAAAGCTCATGGTGTCTGACTATCAAAAGGTATAGCATCTGGGGCCTTAACCCTATAACGCCTGAATTTTTAATTTCAGGAAAAAAATTTTGCTTTTATTCTTTACTTTCATAGTTATCAATATATATATTAATATATACATTTAATTAAATGTTACGAAAACGGCGTGCTTGGCGTTATAGGGTTAAAGGCTTGAAGACAAATAAGCGGCCATTTAGCTGAGAAGTATCGAAGCCCACATGGAAGAAGCACACCAGCCTGTGTGATCAGGAGGTGTCAATGGGATCAGGCATCAGGCATCTAAGACCCAGAGCAAAATCATACCCAATGTGAATAGTGGTGGTGGGGGCATGGAGTGGAGACCCAAAGCCCATCTGTAGACAACTGGACATCCCCTCACAGAAGGGTCACAGGGAAGAGATGAGCCAGTTAGGGTGCAGTATAGCACTGATGAAACACACAACTTTCCTCTAGCTCTTTGGTGCTTCCTTCCCCCATCATGACCTCAATCCTACCTTACAAATCAGATTAGACCAGAACATGCACACTGCTATAGCTAAGAGCCCACAACTCAGGGAATCCAGGATAGATAAACCCCTCAGGACCAACAAGGAGAGTAGAGATACTAGGAGTATTAGGGGAGGATGGGGAGAGAGAGGGGGAATCAATTACAAGGATTAACCTATAATGCACTTCCAGGGGGACAAACAATGGACAAGTGGGTGAGGGGTGACAGAGGACGGTGTAAGATATGAAAATAATAATCTATAATTTATCAAGGGTTTGTGAGAGAGTCGGGTGGGGGAGTGAGAGGAAAGAAACGAGGAGCTGATATCGGAGGCTCAAGTGGGAAGAGAACGCTTTGAAAATGATGATGGCAGCATATGTGCAAATGTGCTTGACACGATCGATGAATGTATGGATTGTGATAAGAGTTGTAAGAGTCCCCAATAAAGGACTAAAAAAAAAAAACTGAAGAAAACTTCTAAAACTGATTGTGGTGAAGACTGTGCAAGTTTTCTCAATGTGATTGAACTATTGAATTGTATATGTGAATTATATGCCAATGAAACTTTTTTTAAATCATTTTATTAGGGGCTCATACAACTCTTATCACAATCCATACACACATCAATTGTGTAAAGCGCGTTTGTACATTCATTGCCCTCATCATTCTCAAAACATTTCCTCTCCACTTAAACCCCCAGCATTAGGTCCTCATTTTTCCCCTCTCTCCCCGCTCCCCCCTCCCTCATGAGCCCTTGATAGTTTATAAATTGGTATTTTGTCATATCTTGCCCTGTCCGACGTCTCCCTTCACCCACTTTTCGGTTGTCCATCCCCCAGGGAGGAGGTCACATATGGTTCCTTGTAATCGGTTCCCTCTTAATGAAACTGTTGAAAGAAAATAAAGATTACATAACAAGGTAAATTCATACACACCAAAAATCACATACAAAAACCAGTGGCTCCCAAGAGAACTCAGCTCAGTTATAACAACTGCTTTCTTGGATTCCAAATCTCCAAACCAGATTCTCATGGACACAGCATGATCCGGGGGGGTTATTAGAGGTCTTTAAGAGAATTGGTGAGCAAAAGGCCAGGAAAGTTGGACTGAGTTGTTGTTCCCCAGGCTTGAGATGAACTTGTTCATTCTTTGAAGCTAGCAAGGGTTGTCCCATGGCAATCAGATAGGGAAACCTGGTCCTATCCACCCATCAGCCCGGATGTGGCCTCTTCAGACGTCTTTCCCCCGCAGATTGAAGAAAACATTGAAAGACAGCACAACTAGAATTCCTTGGAGATGCCCTAACTGCTGGCTTGACGTGGTGTAAAGTGAAGAGTGAAGAATCCCTTGGAAGAGGGGAAGAGAGATGGAAACCTAGCCATTAGAAGTCGTATAGATCCAGAAGGAGGATATGTCTCCAAACAATAGCTTTTCACTTTGATATCTTAGTGGAGTAAAAATTCTGATGGGTTTTGAGGCAATACGTTCTTTTAACTTACCTTTGTAGCTCACAAGATAAAGTATACAGTAGTTTAGCTGTATTATCTGCTGAAAGACAAGGGCCTGTTTAAGTCAGGAAACCAAGGCCCAATTTAAACTTGCTACTCTATGCGTACACGCGAGAATATATTCCAGAGAGAAAAGATGTCTGATTTGAAGAATATTTCCTGTTTACTGACCCACCAACCAACCTACCGACCAACCCACAAAGCTGCGGGGAAGAGGGCACTGGCAAGTATTACTCCACGTATAAAACAAGACACATGCAGAAAACTGTCAAAATGCCATTTGGGCCTTTATTTTTGGACATGGAGCAATCTTGGAGAATATTAAAATAGACGTAGCCCACATACTGACCGGTGCACCACTGCGTTCCAAGTTAAGGTCTCCAGGAAGTTTCAAACTGATGATCTCTAGAAGCCCAACAAATGTACTTTGTTTTTACCAAGGAAAATCCTTTTCATTAGCAAATAACGCATTTTATAGGCAAAAACAACTGAAATCTTGTCTTAAGTGAGGTACACACCGAATACACATGAAAATGTTAGAGGGCAAATAAAGCCCAAAACCAAAGTGAAGTCGTATGCCTTTAACAGTTGCAGAACAGAAGGAACCCGGGTGTTGGGGTTTCTCACCCATATTGGCACTGTCACATTTCAGTCCGATAATTCCTCTTCTCCCAAGACCATCCTAGGGAGGGTCAATGGTGTGAATTTTCCCAGTGTTTTGTTTTCTTTTCTCAAAACGACACTCTAATTTCTAGATTCTATAAGTTGTTTGTATACACACAAAATACAATTTCGTTTTTTCAGTGGCAACTGTTCACAGTCATGTTAAAGATACGTTCAAGAAGTTTTGGGAATGCTAACATTAAGAAACTCACAATACTGACAGAATTCACCTCGTCCACCCACAAGTGCTTCGTCCTTCCAGTCTTAATAGCAACACAACAGAATCGAAAAGCACTCCAAGAATGAGTCATACAGACTGCGTGGCTAACAAATGTAGGGTTCAAAAACCCATGGCTCTGGGCAACCGTCACTGCATAAATAACAACAATCACCCGCAGGGAGAAACCATGTTCTACAAGGGTCAACGCCGGGTGAGACTTTAGACACAACAATACTTGGCGACATCAGCGAGGCCACAAGTGAAGGAAGGGGAGAGCGACTTGGCGCCAAGGTGTGGGGGTAGCAGCTGACTCGGGGATGGCACATCTTGTACATTCTTCTCAGAATGCAAGAAGGCAGTTACAGAACACGAACTCATGCACTGGAAGGTGTGGAGTTTCTCTGCCCGATCCTCAACAGTGATAGCGGTCCTTAGTGTGTCCAACGTAAAAAGTCTCCGAAAGAAAGCTGAAGACAAAGGCTTCTCCCTAGGCAAACCTGTACAGTCGGATCAACAAAGTGCTCAGACAGGTCCAGCCACAAGGGGCATGGCGGCTATTTACACCAGGGCATGGCAAGGGTTGCTGCCACGAAGTCAGCCATTTGAGTACCAAGCAAAGAGGGGCTGACTGCCCCTCAGGCCCTTAACCAGCAGCAAGTATCCAGCTTAACAATCTAATAGAGTAGGTGCTCTGAAGATGCTGATAATGAACGGACCATCTCATGAGAGAAACCTGCTGGTTGTATGAGATGTTGGTGGAGTATCCCCAGTAGACTTAAGAACGGGACTTATATACTCAGAGACCTCTTGTAGCTCCCTAAAAAAACTTGTAAACACTTGGTGAATCTCTAATGAATGGTGTAACATTAAAAACGGGCCAAAAGAGACCCAGAAAACGTTTGGCCCTTCAGCACCCAAAGTTCCCCAGACAGAGTGTGCAAACCTCTCGGCTCTCGGGCTGTTTCAGTGGTCTGAGAAGTTGCATACCTGAGCAGCATCAACGCTCTCTCACATCTGAAACAAGTGCAAGGAGTTTCTACACTCGGGGTTTGCACACATTTTCCCCTCTCCTCAAAATAAAATGCTGAATGATAAAAGAGGTAGCATAACGTACTAAATTAACTTTAACAACAACTAAACTTATTTGCAATAGTCTCCATAAAACTATCGCCCATCTTCCAAAAGGTACTGCCCGGCCTCCTTCAATCAGGTTTCAGAATCCTCGTTGCTATGCGGGTTCATTTTGTCCCTGGGAGAACACTGGGGAAGAGGCCAGGAACTCAGGGGCCCTGAGGCATCTACTGCGACATCAATGAGGGAATCTGGGGTGATCCACCGCAGAAAAATGAGGAAGAGGATGTTGAAGACTGCCAGCAAGGCAAAAATACAGCCGGTTACTGAACCACAGTGAGACATGAGTCGATCCAGTCTTTGGTCTATGGATAACACAGCTTCGCCAATCACCCGGTCATACACCTGTGGGGAGAGAGGACAGGGCATCAGCATGCTGACCCACTGCTGGCCTTTGCGCCCATGTCCCCTCACCAGCAACCTTTAAACGCGAATACACATCCAAGTGTTTTGCTTTTTGTTGTTGCTCTGTTTTACATTAATTATATGAGTGACGTTAATTACAATCCAGAGAACCCTTATTCTAGGCTCAACTTTGGGCTGAACACTGTGCCATACAAAGGCACTCAGCCCTGGTCCCCATCCTTTAGGGAATCACCGCGGAATTTAAGTGACTCGTAGAATTCTAAGGAGCCCTGGGCCCGGTGGCACAGTGGTTAAGTGCTCAGTTGTGAACTGACCAGCCGCTCCGCAGATGCCAGACCTGGCAATCTGTTCCTGATAAGGTTGCAGCCTAGGAGATGCCCAGAGCAGTATGACTCTGTCCACTGAGGTTACTACACGTTGGATCAATTCAATGGCACTTATGACAATTCAAATGCCCTGTCTTGAGAAGGCCAGGCGGTTTTTTGGACTACTACCTTGGTGGCAGTTTGAACCAAACTCCCTGAAGCCAGGTTGACCTTCCAGGGCTCCTTGACTCCACAGCCTTCTCTGGTATCTGACAAATCAAGACACACACACACACACACACACACACACACACACACACTCTCTCTCTCTCTCTCTCTCTCTCTCTCTCGAAGAGTTAGACTCTAGTGCACTGCTAGGCAAACTGGACTCTTCCTTTCAACAGCCACATGAGCCCAAACAACTTGTGAACCTCCGAGGCTTGTCAACCAAATGGAGAGGAGGGAGACAGTAAATAGTAGATAGTAGTGGGTACACACTGGCACTGTAAACTGATAAAGATTTTAAAAAAACTTTTACAACCTAATTATTTAAAACTATTATGCCTAACGTGTCTGTATTCAAGTTTGGTACTTGCACTTTCATGTTCTTCACTTGAAGTCGGCCATTATTTGTGCTCATGCTCAGGCAGTCGGCCTGTAAACCAGCCCCTTTGGAACTCAAGGTTCCAACCCGAAGTGCAAATTCTAAAGACCAGCAGCTTTGGACTGGGACAGGACATTTCCATCTTGCCCTTCTATCAAGAGGCCACCTGGAATTTGACTGAGTAGTCCGCTGAGACTGGCAAGCTGTCACTGAAAAAATGTTTTTTAGCATGAGCTCCAATTTCATTTCTTGACCCATTTTCTAAATGGTACAGTCAACTACAAGGGAGAGGATCAAAGTGCAATGGGTCAAAATGCCCTGTGTGGGACAAGCTGAGTTTTAAAACGCCAGCTACAAAGTAACCCAATGGCAGCCCACCTTTCTAGGGTCTTGAATTTCTGATAGTAAACTATGAAAGGACAACACACTACTATGAAGACAAGGTTAAAGAAAACATTGCGGTAGCAATGGTACACTTCTACTTGGTGTCACTGAACTATAGAATGATATATGTATGGGAAGAAGCACACCAGCCTGTGAGATCACGAGGTGTCGAAGGGATCAGGTATCAGGCATCAAAGACCAAAAAAATCATAGCACTGTGAATGAGGGGGAGTGCAGAGTGGGGATCCAGGGCCCATCTGTGGGTAATTGGACATCCCCTTGGAGAAGGGTTGTGTGGAGGAGAAAAGCCACTCAGGATGCAATATGGCAATGATGAAACATACAATTTCCCTCTAGTTCTTGAATGCTTCTTCTCTACCCACTATCATGTCCCAATTCTACCTTACAAATCCGGCTGGACTGGAGGATGTACACTGGTACAGATAGGAACTGGAAACACAGGGAATCCAGGACAGATGAACCCCTCAGGACCAATGGTGAGAGTGGCGATACCGGGAGGGTGGAGGGAAGGTGAGGGAGAACGGGGGAACAGATTAAGGATCTACATATAACCTCCTCCCTGGGGTAAGGACAGCGGAGAAGTGGGTGAAGGGAGACGTTGGATGGTGTAAGATATGACAAAATAATAATAATTTATAAATTATCAAGGGTTCATGGGGGAGGGGGCAGCCAGGAGGGAGGGGGAAAATGAGGAGCAAATACCAAGGGCTCAGGTAGAAAGCAAATGTTTTGAGAATGATGAGGGAAACAAATGTATAAATGTGCTTGACACAATGGATGTATGTGTGGATTATGATAAGAGTTGTACAAGTCCCCAATAAAATGATTTAATTTAAAGAAATTAAATTTTTTTTAAAAAAATAATGATATATGTATTAAATCCCAATTAATAACTTTTAAAAACAAAACAAAAACTCATTGCCATTGAGTCAATTCCAACTCAAAGCAATCCTATGGGACAGAGAGAAATTAGCCCCGTGGGTTTTTACGGGTGTAAAAAGCCTAATTTTTCTCCTGCTGTATGCCTGGTGGTTTCAAACTGTTGACCTTGTGGTTAGAAAGCCAAAACAGTAACCCAGTACACCAGCAACGCTACTTGGAAGACAATAAATCATTAGACATGAGGGTTTACCGAATTCTAAATGTACGCTAGCAAATCACAATAAAAGCATTTGAGAAATAGAGATGTTTAAAGCATCACAACTAAAAGAACACCTGTGGTTCAAAACCAAATCCTACTGAGTCCCTTTAACAAATGCTGACCACTGTCACCCTAAAAGTGACTCTTTCCTCTGAAGGTAGAGTTTGGTGATCGGTGCGCCCTTCCAAAGTTTACATGATGTCTGTCAAAGTCAGGACTCAACTTAGTGAGCTGGGGCTTGTCAGCAGGGTGGAGATTAAGATGGCTATCACCAAAAAAACCTGTCTAACCAAATTGCCAGCTCTGCTCCTGAAGGCCCATGTTGGAATCAGGAAGGGCCGGGCGGCAGGGGGCATGTCGCTGGGGTGCACGATGACAGGCACTCTGGACTAGATGCCGGCACCCACAGGAAGGCAAGGAAGAGACAGCCATTCCATCCAGCTGAGAAAGGAGAGGGCCTCAAAGGAGAGGGCTTCAAATGAATGACTGGAAATTTTTTAAGTCATACTTAGTGTGTGTATGGGGAGGGGGAGTATGGCATGGCAGTTTTTAGAGATCAGTCTTGGGCACTGGAAATTCGCACTCTCACCAAACTGGAAAGCCTGTGAGGAAAGAGCTAGTCTCTGCCCTTGGCTCTTTTGGGGTTACTGTTTCTGGCTGAAAGGGGTGGGTCCACAGAACAGGCACCAGTGCTCCCCACTGCTATCTTTCAGGGTCACAGGCCCAAGCAGAAACAGGGGTGATTCCCATTGACCCATTACGTGGAGATAAAAGAGGTGAGGCAGACACAGTAAAGAGGGGTACTTTCCACCAAGGACAGAAGTGGCATCACCCACTCAACAGGGTACCCCAGCCTCACTGTACTCGCCTAGCCTTCACCTTTGCTGCACATGCCCTTTGGGAAAGTCACTGCTGCTGCCTCTGCTTCCTGGTGATGTCTACAATGGTCACCCTGTTCTGTTTGAATTCTACCTTTTGATGGTCACATTCGCCCTACAGGAAATTACAACTAGCTAACACTATTAACATGAGTGTTTTAAGAAGTGGTAGCCAGAATGAATTACTTCCAAGTTACAGAGTTGCCACACTTGGGCTGAAAGCAAAAGGAAGTATTTTCTGAATGACCCATCTGCATTTGAATTATAAGCAGACTCAAGGAAGTATCCAAGGAATGAGTTTCAATACCAGTGTTAGCGCTAATTTCTGTGACTTCTAGAAAACCATGCTAACTAGTGTCTTCACGCCATACAGAGTTTAGGCTGGTGGTACAATGATCAAACTCTGAAAGGTTGCCCAATAAAACCCTCCTGGGAGCTTCACGAGAGAAAGACCTGGTGGTCTACTTCCATAAAAATGCCTAGAAACCCCTACGGGCAGTTCTATGCTGTCACGGGTGAGTCAAAATGAACTTGATGGCCCTTAACAGCAATAGTTACTTCTGTTTTGACATTCTGAATGCAATGGATTGACTAGAAACGTTATGTCAGGGCTTCAAACCAGTCTGAAAACAATTTAGTCATGGCACAGGCAGCGAAATCAGAAAAGACCTGGATTTGCAAAATGTGGGAGCACCGGACCAAAAATTAGAATGGGAAAACCGTGGGTGGTAGCCCTAGACTGAGAAACTCATAAGAGGCCATAGTGAGCCCTCTCAGAGCCTGATGAAAGACACTGGATTAATATTGCCAGGACTGTGGAGAGCGATACACATGCAAGACTACGCAGGTGGCTACCACCTTTGAGCCGGGCACAGCTCTTTCCACCTCTGCCTGTCAAGAGATCTGGCTGCCATGCAATGCACACACTGCCCTTTGTTTTCTACCCAGGAGATTACATTTCAAGCAGGGTGCTGACTCATCCATTCCCGTTCCTGTTATCATCCTGGCCCATGACCGAACAGGTTTGAAGTCTTGCTTAACCCGCTATCCACCAAAAGTAATACAAAATCCATGTGAAATCAATCTCCTAAGCATAAGCATTAGGGCACACATGGTAAGCCTATGAGTATGAAAAAGCATCGTGTACGTGTGACATTGAGGAGGCAGCCAGACTTAATGCTAAAAGGCCTTTCCTCCTAGGATGAGACCTACTTTTTCGGTTCTCTCCGCAACATTCCTCCAGGTGTAGAAAGTCTTGACGACGCCATGGATCTTCTCTGGGGTGGGCAGTTCTCCCGACTTCAGTTGGGCAATGGCCTTTTCCAGTCCTTGACATAAGGATTTTACGGAAGGCTCACATAAAATAATGAGACTTTCTGGCAGTACCTCAGGAATTCCACCAACCCGGGTACTCACAACCTTTAAAAGAGAAACAGAACAATAACAAATCAAAGAGACACAGGTAGGTAATTAACTATTTTTCCTGTCTTATGAAAAGCGGCAAAGGCAACTTAGAGAATGACCACTGAATGCATGTGGTTCCATCTTTTTTTTTAGGTGGCTCTATCTTGCCAGCATGAATACAGGAACCCCTAAGGACTGAAACCCTCAACCAGCTCACCTGTAAACCACAACTGGCTGCTTCCACAATCGCCATGCAAAATGCTTCGGTAAGGGAGGTATTAAGAAAAATATGTCCTTGAACCAAGACGTTACGAACATCCTTGTGTTCTAAAGCTCCCAAGAGACGCACCCTGATGTGTGAAAGGGGAGGGGGATGAAGAAGTGGGGTGAGAAAGCATGCTGCAAAGGAAGTATAACTTAGAAGGCAAGTCGGCTGGTCAGGATTCTCCCAAGATGCTTGCCAGCTGAAAACACTAGTACCACCAAAGTCTGGTGCCCCCAAACGCACAGCCCTGTAACGCTGTTCGGCTCAACACCTCTAGGCAACCCATTTTGAATGTTGGTGGCATAGCAAGCGTATTTATTTTCACAAAAAGCAAACTCGTCTTGGAAGAGTTGAAATCTGGTAATACTGACTAGTCGACTTGACCCTCATTTGCATATTTCCTACACACCAAACAGGAATTGGCCTAACGTTACCTTTCTTGAGCTCTTCTGCTCTGGGTGCAGAGCCCAGATGGAATCCAGCCGAGTGAGGTTTCCTGCCCACAAGACAAAAGGGGTCCCACCATACCTGTCATGTAGCTGGTATCTTTCCCGCACTTCTTCCAAAATGATTCTCTTTGGTCCTTCTCCTCCAATTATGAAGTTCAAATCTGGATATTTCAGACAGAGCTCAGGGATTATGCCACAAAGCAAGTCAGTCCCTGGGAATAGAAAATAAAGCTGGGTTAACGATACCCATTTAAATGCTAAAAAAATTGAGGGGGGAGCATTAGAATGACATAGATTCATTCACTTGGAAAAGCAGTAGCTCTATGTTCTCTTCAAAGTGAGACACTAAGACTATGAATCCATTAACCCGCTGCTATGGGACACGCCCAAGGACCAACTCGGGAAGAGCAACACCCAGGCAGCCACTGTCCCTAGCACACACCTGCAATCCGGGTGGTGGTTTCACCTCAGCATACTCCCTGGCAGTTGGTTACTTGGTTTGCTTCCACAGCTGCTAGCCAAGGTGGCTAAAGCTCGAGTTAAACTCTGCTGCAGAGTAGCAGAACTGGGGATCAAACACCTGTCCCTGCTTTCCTACCAGTGACCTCTCGGACCAAGGGAAAATTGCTTCTGGATCTATAAAACAGGATCTCTCTTTTTTTTCCCTTTCTTTTAAAACAGGATCTCTATACCAAAAAGTCAAGGTCTCTTTCAGCAATAAAATGTTATCAGTCTATGACTCCACTTTCTGCCAGATCCAAAGGTTAAGCGACAAAGTTTAACCATTGCCTCTTTTGAGTTCTGACTCACAACTGGCCCAGGACTGCTGGAATCAAACACTGCCTGGCTCGGTGCCATCCTCTCGACTGACTGCTGCTAGGTTGCAGGCCATTGTTGCAGCCACTGTACCAGTCCCCCTCCTTAAGGGTCTCCTTCCTTTTCATTCCCCTCTAGTTTGTTTCAAGTGCAGTGAAACCTGGCATACTGGCCAAGGCAAAGAGGGGCCCATCCCAATCCACTTCCCAGCATGAGAGAGTAAATGAGGGTGGCGTGGTGGGACCCCAGATGTCAGACCCTCACTGTTCAGAGGACAAAAGGATGCCTCACTTCCTTTTGAAAAGAAAAGCCCTTTCCTATAATAAGGAAGTACAACTTCAGGTGATAAAAAGCAATACAGTAAATTGCACTCTAGTAAGAAAAAGTTAGCAGCTGTCTCGAGACAGTGGGCACTATTTAGGAATTCACTTCAAGAAAAATAAAATTGTACACATTCAAAAGTACACGCAAAATGATTCAGTTAGAGCTGCACTAAACATTTTTAAAGAATGCACACACACAAATTGCATTCTTCTCTCAATCTTCCTACATATAAGCATATCAATAATAAAATACATAATGGAAGACATTTTATAGTGAGACACACATATGATCATTTTTATTCAAGTGATTCAGAGTCTCTAAGGCAACTCTGCTAGTACTTTCAAACTATGATTGCATTTATCAGCAATAAATTCAGAGCCACGTTTCTGAACCTAAAACTCTCCTTAAAAAAAAAAAAACTCTCCTTAAAATATTCGCTCTTAAAAAAAACAAAACCCAACTTAGCTCTGGGTGGTTTCAGTCTATTATCAAATCCACCGATGAGCTTTTTCAGTTAAGCCAGAAGGGGGCTGAAAGCCTTTTAACATCCACATGCCAATAAAGACCCAGAGGCTCCTTGTCTCATTTGCCTTTAGGTTCTTACTTCACTTTAAAGCCCCACTGGCGATTATGAAGTTGCTTTTTGAAGGTAAATGTGCAATTGCTTTTTGACAAGAGCACAAATGAGCTGACAGTACACTGTGCCTGGGGCCTCCCTGAGACCAGAAGGTGAGGCCAGGCCTGCCAATAAGGCCCTGGGTTAGGTTAAACTAGCTAATGGTTCTATAATCCCAATCCCACCACCAGATAGTTCCGACTTGTAGCAACCTTACACAGGGTTTCCCAGACTATCAGTCTTGGTGGGAGCAAGCAGCTTCATCTTTTTCCTGTAGGGCAACTGGTGGGTTTCAACTACCAACCTCATGGTTAGCAGCCCAGTGCCTAACCCACATCGCCCCCAGGGATCTATACTCATGCACATATACATAAACACGTGTATTTTTTAACAATTCCATACTTGGACATTTTTTTATTATTAGACTGGCTTTCAGACCTAAAATCCAGAAGACCATGCACATTTGTAGTAATCAGATTCAGGACTTTTCGTAAACAAGGCCCCCCATATTCCACTTCTCAGTCTGGACGCGGCAGAAGCTTGAAAGTCTCCGCTTTACTGAGGGCCCATGCTTGCCTTGGATGAGGGGGCTTCAAAGAGGCCAGGGACAATGGAAGTGAAGGCGGATGGCAGTTTTGAAGCTCCCTAGTATGTACTGGGCTCAGGACAGGGACCACCACTGAACCCTCCTCCCAAGATACCCACTGTTGCCCAAAGGACACAAATGAGAAAGCAGAAACTAAGAGGTGTCCAGGAACTTGTCCTGGTCCCCTTGCTCCCCTTTCCCTCACTTTCCCCCACAACATATTACTAACATGCCCTTAGCGCAGGACTCAAGGAAGCAAGCAAGCTACTTAGGACAGGAAGGTTTCGCTGAGCCCACGGGGTGGTGGGGGCAGGTGGATCTGTATCCACAGGAGAGAAACAGGAAAGCTCTTAGGTCAGTTATCCCTTAGGATCATCTTGCAATAGGCCTTACAGAGGGTTTGCTTTTCCATATCTGTGCTTTTCAAAGTGTCTGTGATGCAAATGTGTTTCCTTTGCCATCAGAAAGCAAAGGCGCTGCCCTGTGCCTCGCCCAGCATGCACTGGGCTCTTTTCATTTTGAAAATCATCTAAGCTTTCAGTAATAATAAGCATCAGTGATATGAAATTAATCATGTAGCCTGGGGTGGTCCTTCTTTTTTCTCATTAACTATGCAAACACCCCAGGTTGGAGGACGGCAGCATTTAGTCCTGCGCCCCAAACCTCTCCTGGGATCTAGAGAACAGCAGCAGGCCTTTCTCTGCTGTATTTCAGGCAACAGAACACAGGATACCAGGGAACCAAAAACCAATCCATCATGATACACAGAGATTCAACCACCTTCTCCAGGAAGACAAGACAAAAAGGCGCAATTCCTTACCTTTTCTGTAAACAAGCCTGCTGATGACCACAATCGTCACCATGTCTTTTTTCCTTTGACGCGGGTCTGGAGTAAAGTCGGTAGGATCTACAGCATTCGGAATGACAGACACGATCTCTGGGTTCAGCGCGGCTCTGAGTACGGTGTTCTCCTTGCTTGTGTAGGAGACGCAGATGATGTGGTTTGTGTCGCAGAGAGACACGGTCAGAAGCTTATTGGTTAGCACCGAGCTGACATCAGCAAATCCAAACAGGGAATGGTCCGTGAAGACTGTCTGAAGCCCCATGGTTTTGCCGTGAAAAAGGGCATCATGGGCCATGGCAGAAAACGAGCTGTGGGCGTGGATTATACTGATCCTCTCCCGAACAAATATGTACCTGAGCAGGGGCAGACTGTGGAAGAGGGTCGTGGCTGTCGACTGGTTGTACATGACTTTCAGAGGCAAGTAATAGACTTTGAGGCCATTGGTGAGGTAACGGACACCTTTCCGATTTCCATAAGCATGGGTGATGATTATGACCTTGTGCCCTCGTTCGATCAGGCACTGAGAGAGCTGGTAAATGTGGCTTTCCACGCCTCCCATGTTGGGGTAGAAAAAGTCAGACACCATGCAAACGGAATGGCTTCCAGTTGGAGCAGTGGGACATTCCTCAGTGCTAGTGCAGGCCAGTGCATCTAGCGGACGCCGGCTGGGCTCAGCTTCTGTTCTACAGGCCATTCTGGGAAGGGTTAGGCATCAGTCTGCCAGCAGCCCCATCCAGATGCGTGTCATTTGCTACCTGCAAGAGAACAGTGCAAGGTATGAGCTCAGGGGCAAAATGCAGTCCGACGTCAACATCTGGAGAGAAATGGGTAGGCATTTCCCCTGGAAACCAATCACAGTGCACAAGGAGGCCTTAAAAATGTTGGGGAAGAAATGGCATGAAAAGGCAGTGGAATTTTCCCCACAAAACTTCAGATATCCCCCTCGCGTAATGAATTCATCCGAGACGACAGTGAATTTGTGAGCACTTGCCATGTGCCAGACAACGGAACTAGGTGCCACAATATCCTAGGTTTTAATTCAGCTCTAAAAATACTGCTACGTGTGATTCATACCATTAAGCCCCCTATGCATTGCATCGTGTGTCACACTAACAAATCAGGTCACTCAAATAAGCACACACACACACACACACCCCACTCTGATTCTTATTGAATGGTCTCTATATATCAAGCACATACTACGGACTAAGCGGTGTCCATATCTTACTGCAGCATCTGCAAGACCCTAGGAGGTACTATCCTAATCTAACAGATGCAAAACCAGCCCTCCACTCAGCAACTGAGATCCCCACAGCTCCAGAAACTTCCATACAATGGAAAAGCCAGCCTGTCACCGATTTTCCTAGTGCCAACAAACCCTGAAAACGCACTAATTGTGCAGTCGCAGTTGTAAGCATTTCAGTTAACACTTGCCCCCCACACAACCCCCCAAACACGAAATACATCCGGCCACAGAAACCATCGTGGCTGAACCGGGTTTACTAATTTTCAGCAAGGATGAATACCCTGAATGGTGCCACGCTCAAACTCTTCAAGCTTGCACTTCCAAGTGGCCCAACTAACCCTTTCTGAGGTTTGTCATCCAAAGATGAACTTCCAGTTCTGGTCAACTAAACACGACGGGCCCGCAGTGAGAATGGTGAGCCCCCACATAATCATTAAAACTGTTCTTGACAACCTTGTGGGAGGACTCGGGCCTCATCACCCCTGACAACTCGGTGGCGGAAAGAGGCTGATGATCTCCACCAGCCACTCAAAAACCCGACCAAAGCCTCCAGGGCTCCATGAGACGAGGGAAGGCCCGGTAGGGTCAGGAGGACAGCACAAGCCGCTCATCACTCATTGAGGGGTTCCTGGCCTCGGTGACCTGCCTGGCCAGGCTCAAAGGGAAGCGGCAGGCCGGCTGGCGGTAAGTCTTCCCAAGAGTCGGCTCCAGGGCCGCCAATTCCTAGGACCCTTCAACCCTACTCGACTCCCGAGACCCTCCAACCCAACTTCCGAGCCCCAAACCTGGAGGCTTCAACCCGTCAGACGCGCCCTTACCTGTAAACCCCACGGCCGCCCACGTCTGGACCTCCCGCGGCTGCGGCCGGAGCCCCGCCCCAGCCAATCACGAAGTGGCCTCGCGTCACGGCGCGAGCGAAGGGCTCCGCCACGCACCGGAAGACCGGTTTTCTCCGTATCGGAAGCAGCGCTGCTCAGTTTAACCTTTCCTAGGAACTCTGCACGTCTCTGACCTGAAGGGAAGGGCCCAATTCTCTCTCAGAGACCGCCCGCCAGAAACTCCTTTCACGGGGTTAAATCACAAGTCCCTACCTACCTCTCGGGGGCCCTCTAGCGCTGCCGGAAGTTGTAGTCTGATGGCCTTCATTGCGAGGCGGATCCGCACGCAGAGAACTACCATCCCCATGGTGCATCGCGTCCAGCGCCTCCCTCCCTTGCGCCGTCAGAAGTGTTAGCTGACAGGTTGCCTAGTTACAGTGGTTTTTTTTTCCTGGAAGACTGCGTTCTCAGTGCTTGCTTCCGGCTGGAGAGGTTTTTGCGTGGAAAAACTAAGGAAAGCCAGCGGGATGGTGGCGTTTTGTTGGGAGCTCATCTGTGCCACAGCCCAGTCATGCTGGTTTTTGCCACTTTAGGGTTGTCAGAGATAGGAAATTTTAAAAATACACAGATACTTTTAAGCAAATAAAACAATCTGACACTTTGCCCCTGAGCTGCTAATCACAAAGTCCGCGATTCAAACCCATCAGCCGCTCCCCTAAAGGAAAAATGAGACTGTTTACGCCTGTAAAAATTAAAAGTCTCAGAAACCCACAGGGGCAGTTCTGCCGTGCCCTATAAAGTCGCTGTGATGGTAGTAGGTAGTTTTTGTTTCTGTTTTTGTTATGAGAGTCCCAAAGCACTTAATCTAATTATGTCCCAAATATTACACAATGCATAGTTTTAAAATAATTTGTTGTTTATCTAGAATTAGAATGTTTGTATTTTATTTATTGGTGGGGGCGGGTAATCTGAAATACTAGCACCAACACCCTAAAAATGCAGATTCAAGGAGCTAAAAATCTGTGGAAGTAGCCTGGTGGTTCTCCACGCCTCACTGGTGCTGCTCAAAGTTCCCCAGGCCTGTCACACTGGCACCATCCCCACCATCCCCTTTAAAGCCTAGCAAAAACCCATTCTTCCCAAAAGGCCTGGAATCCTTTTACGGAGGTCTTCCTCAAGCCTCCGGAGCCCTGACGGCATAGTGATTATGAGTTGGGCTGCAAGGTAAGCAGTTCAAAACCACCTGCTGTTCCTCAGGAGAAAGAGGAGGCTTTCTGCTCCTGAAACTCTATCAAGAGTCTCAGAGCCTTCAGGGGCAGGTCTACCATGTGGGTATTGATACTGAGTTTGGTTGGGGTTTGGTCCTCAAGCCTCCAGACCAAATGAAACACTCCTTTTGTATTTGGATGGGACTTTGGCAATACTGCGGCTACACCATTTATCCAGTTGCTCTGCCTGGCTATTGGTCACCTACTTCCTTGTTGACTGTGTCTGTCTGTTTTGAATCGCACATGGAGTCTTTTTTCTGAAAATGGACAGAATTATTTACTTTTTACGTGTCTACCCTCCCCCAACCTCCCCCCCCCCTCACTCCTAGCATATGTAAACTGAGGTAGTATCTGCTCCTGGTAATAGACATGGAATCTGTTTTACTTGTATTCGTGGATTGCTTTAATACTCAGTGCTAGCGCCATCCCTGACATGTATTAAACCAACAAAATCAAACTTACTGCCATAGAGTAGATTCTGATTCATAGATAGCCAATAAAAATTAATTGACCATATTTCATTGAGTGTTTATTATAAAATTACAGTCAATGCCATAATTCAAAGAGCAGTTCAGTGTTACTAATGAGCTAACTTTTTTTTCCAGTGGTTGATGACATACTTTTCTTTTTTTTTTTTTAAATCGTTTTATTAGGGGCACATGCAACTCTTATCACCATACATACATCAATTGTGTAAAGCACATTTGTACATTCATTGCCCGCATAATTCCCCAAACATTTGCTCTCCTCCTAAGGCCCCTGCATCAGCTCCTCACTTTT